AACGAATAGTGGGATTGACCGTCACATTATAACGCCCCCACGGCTGAAAAGCCTATTTGGTATGACGGGGATTCGAACCCGCAACCCGCAGATTGCGAGTCGAGCGCCCTAACCACATGGCCATGCTGGGCCCGGTCCAATAGAAAGTCATATCATAATTATAATGTTTTTTTTTCTGATTATGTTAAATCGACAGTTTAAAACACATGAATTTGGGAAAATAAAAAGCAATGAAAGCTAAAATATTTTATCATCAGCCGGGGTTTCCCCTTGGGCAAATACAATCAGCTAGCAATTATTAATTAAGATACACTAAAACAGTTGTTTGTTAAAGAAATAATGAGAACAGAACGTGTATAGCATAAGGGCTTATACGCTAAAAATCAGGGTTCGATACTCTTAGTAGGCACTGTGCAGATAACCTAACAACAAAACACACAGTTCGTCATTTGAAACGTATAGTTTACTGTGAGTGCGTCAGTCGCGGTAAAGTGGTTAGCGTGCTCGGACTGTTAATTAGAAAGTTCGTGGTTTACTACCCATTGACGCAAAAACGCGCTCTGCACTTTGGAGCCGTGGCTTAGCTGTAAGTTTAATGTAGGGTCAAACCCTACTAATCGGTGAGACAAATGTAGCCTAAAAGTTGGTAGAAGATGACTTATGATAGCAGAAACCTCTGATACTCGGTAAGACTTGTGATAGTAGAAACCTATCTAACCGTTAAGACTTATAAGGATAGAGATCCCTTTCTCGTACTCAGTAAGACTTATGATAGTAGAAATCTCTTACACTCAATAAGAATTATGATGTAAAACCTCTTACACTCAGTAAAACTTATTATGGTAGAAACCTCTCACACTAGTAAGACTTATTACGGGAGAGACTTCTTTTTCATGCTCTGTAAAACTTACATCGGTAGAAACCTTTCATATACAATAAGATTTATCATGTTAATTAAGAACCCTTTTCCCTATTTCTATATTAATTATTTTTCGAACTTATGCGAGTTTCGTTGGTATAAAAATTAATTTATTACATAGGAAACGTATTACTGAAAATAAATTGAACATGAACTGCAAATGAAAAATTATCACAAATGTACACACAAAAATACAGTATTCATTTAACGCACGATTTTCACCCTTGTAGCTGGCGAACTGCAGTATTTTTGTAACAATTTAGCTTCTGAGACAAAAAGTAAAATCACGTCCGCACTCTAAAAAGACATAAGGATTGTGTCTATATCACTTTCAAGCCAGGCCAAACTCCTAATGCAGTATCCTACAATCTTAGATTACCTATATTTGTGATATTCTCATTAAATGTATTCAGGGGAATATTAACTCCCAGATTATAACAACCTCTAAAAACCTCTGCACCATTCCTTTACCTAGGTGTGACCTACGCCCCAAAGGAAAGGCTATAAAGAAACTGTGCCAAGTGAGTATAGGCTCTCTTGAATGGTCACTACTTATGTAACCTAACTGAGACTACTTACATCCTGTTTACAAGGATGTTAACTAACTGCAGAACACCTGTAAACAATTGAAAAATATCCCTCAGTAAAGATATATTATTTTCTAACTGTAGAAATGTAAAATTTGGCAGTTTTCTACAATCACAATAGTTCACTCTTTACACCATTATGTATTATACCGACAATAAAGTGACAAAACAGAGTAAAAAGGAATATCACATTCCTCTCTTTACATCATCAGTATTATAACAGTAACATAATAAGCAAGAATCCATATTTCACTCGTTTCTTCACCGTGTATTATACCAACCACATAGCAAGCAAGAATCCATATTTCACCCATTTCTTCACCGTGTATTATACTAACCACATAGTAAGCAAGAATCCCATATTTCACTTGTTTCTTCACCGTGTATTATACCAACCACATAGTAAGCAAGAATCCCATATTTCACTCGTTTCTTCACCGTGTATTATGCCAACCACATATCAAGCAAGAATCCATATTTCACCCATTTCTTCACCGTGTATTATACTAACCACATAGTAAGCAAGAATCCCATATTTCACTTGTTTCTTCACCGTGTATTATACCAACCACATAGTAAGCAAGAATCCCATATTTCACTCGTTTCTTCACCGTGTATTATACCAACCACATATCAAGCAAGAATCCATATTTCACCCATTTCTTCACCGTGTATTATACTAACCACATAGTAAGCAAGAATCCCACATTTCACTTGTTTCTTCACCGTGTATTATGCCAACCACATATCAAGCAAGAATCCCATATTTCACTCGTTCCTTCATCGTGTATTATGCCAACCACATATCAAGCAAGAATCCCATATTTCACCCATTTCTTCACTGTCTATTAAACCAACCACATAATAAGCAAGAATCCCATATTTCACTCGTTTCTTCACCGTGTATTATACCAACCACATAGTAAGCAAGAATCCCATATTTCACCTGTTTTTTCACCGTGTATTATACTAACCACATAGTAAGCAAGAATCCCATATTTCACCTGTTTTTTCACCGTGTATTATGCCAACCACATATCAAGCAAGAATCCCATATTTCACTCGTTTCTTCATCGTGTATTATACCAACCACACAGTTAGAAAGAATCCCATAATTCAGTACTTACATCATCATGTTCGACATTGGAAATAATTATGGAAACGCACAAATTATACACATACAGGAGTTGCAAGCAATGTGTATTTAAAACTAAATGGTCAATTTATCAGTAATATAGAACATGATTACAGAAAATACGATGCACTAGTTCTTCTATTAGCTTTAAACAAAACAGTACACCTTATTTTGTACTACTATAAGTTTATCAATGAATTATTGGGACATATTGTTTCAAATATCTTGTATAATTCCCGACAAAATAAACAATTTTTTGGTTGTCGTTTAACAAATAAATTTCCCCTTATAAACCCATGTAGCTTTAATAATATTCATAATGGGACCTAGTGCGGACCAAGTCATGATTACGAGTGTTCCATCGGCCTTTTTTCTACCAGGTATCGTTTCATTACACATCCTACATGCATGAGATCACTGCCTTGCTAAAAGATGAAAACTTGTTGAACTTGTCAACAGTCATGGGTGCCATCAATTTCACGTAGATCTCCAACATCATTGGCTGAAAGGAAGATCACACTTGTAGATCTCCAACATCATTGGCTGAAATGAAGATCATACTTGTAGAACTTCAACATCATTGGCTGAAATGAAGATCATAATTGTTTTTGTCCCTCAACGTACTCTATCTTAGAGTTTGTACATTGTACCTTCCACTCTCTGAAATGTAACAAACCGTCGTTGATCGCTACTAAACAATTCGGGTTTATCAGTAGAGAACGCGCTCCTCCAGTTTTGCTCATCCTACTGTGTGAAATCTGATGCATATTTAAGCAATTTGGGTGTCTCACCTAAGGTGTAGTTTTTGAGTAGCTACACACCCAGTAAGAACACTTCATGTGTACCTTACTGTTCTGGAGGTGACATTTAGACCTGTACTTACAACTAACTCATTGTTAAGAACTCTAGCGGAAATACTCGAAAATAATTTTAACATCAATTTTGAAAAGTTTGGGCATTCTACCTCGACCGCTTCTATTACCAACAGAACTAGTTTTACTCACCCTTTTCAGAGTTTCTATACAGATCCTGTCGCATTCATCAGCTAAAACATTGATTTATACGCGGTTGTCATGTGGCATTTACAACACTAACGCTAGGTATGTTATGATTGTCTGTACTTTTATATGCATTATGTTGATATTTCAGTGTCTGATTGGTCAGATGACAGCCAATCAGAACGTGACTGTACTTTGTTGCAGCTCGCTTTTCTAAAATAGAGGATAATCAGTTCCATAATAGTTGCATTTTATCCCAATTTTGCTTGTAGTTTCTATTAATATTTAACAATACTGTATGTTAGCGACCACAGAGTTAATTAAACTGTAGCATTAATGAACTTTTTTATATGCTCAATATACCACTGCTTTCAAGGAATTGTGAATGTTTTAATTGAAAATAAGATATCCGAGATCCGCACTTTTCTATCGCCTAACACGAATCGATTTCCCAAGTAAAAAGAGTGAGGTGAGTAAGCAAAGTCCTGGAACTAAAAACTTGAATAAGTGAAGAAAAGCAAAGTTAATATGACACTTTTACTTTACTATTACAAATAACTTCCGAGATAGATAAACTAGATAAAAGCTAGTCAGATGGATATTTTCTAATCATATTAAAACCTTTTAAAGGTTCGTCTATGGGTCTGATTGAAAAAGGTAAACATAATAATCCCTAATACTATTTTTCATTATAATTTCTAACAAGTCTTCAAAGTGATCCCGTATCTCAGATTGACTATTTAATTTTAGGTCGCTTTAAGCCTAAACTAAGTACAAGTTTGCTTCTTGATGCGTTACATACAAAATAAGAAGTGCATCCTAGAGATGAACAGTTAAAATTGTGTAGACTATACAAAAAATATATACATATAAATTATATATCATCGAATCAGAATTAAATATGTTCTATTACCTTATTGTAACATTAGGTGGTTATTGAATACATGTATCATCTAATGTACACAGGTTCTTTTATCTTATTGTAGTATTAGGTGGTCACTGAGTACATGTATCATCTAATGTAGACAGGTTCTATTATCTTATTGTAGTATTACGTGGTCAATGAGTACATGTATCATCTAATGTAGACAGGTTCTATTATCTTATTACTTAGTTTTAGGTGTGTTCTAAGAGTAACGGTCAAATTCCACTATTCGATTAAAGTAACCCAAGAGTACTGTTGACTGGCTGTTCCCCCCCCCCCGGTCTCTCAATTCTAAATTATGGACGGGTAGCGCAAATAGCCCTTGTGTATCTTTGCGCGAATATCCGAAACAAATAAATAGTACTTAAGATCTCTATATCTAGTAGCGTTTCTTTGCAACTGATATTGTTGGTTACTATTATGGCAACCAGCCATGAACGGAGAAGAGAAGGTCAGCATGGGGCGTTAAGTACCATTTACCATCTAAATAAAGGTCATAGAGGATTAAAATATTATATCTCGTTTTTAATTTTGTTTATCCTTTATTATCACCGTTCTTCAGTGCTTGTATACCAACGTTTTTAGCTGTGACATGAAAATCATCTGTAAAAATGGTCTATTCTTCCTTATTTTACAAATGTTCTGCAATTGGTAAAACTTTATATTTGATTTTTTAAATTTCATTATAATAGATTATCTTAGCAACTTGTTTGTGATACTGATGGTTCACTCACTGATAGGTTTATATATATGTATAAAAACTTACCATGGAAATCCCAAAAGCGTATATTTCATGAAATGTGTCCCAACATCATGATTGTTAAGAACACAGAATTTTATTTATTGCTAATATGAAAGTATTGAAATAATTACGTAATTAAATTTTCAACAAAAATCTCATAAGCACTTATTTCAGATCAGAATTCATAGAATTTTGTTTTTAAACTAAGAAATTTTTGCTTTACATATGACAATTTCACAGAGGAGGTACACAAAATTATATTGACTTAGATTATAAACTATTCCCGAAATTATGAAGAAAAAATATTTGATTAGAGCTTCGTTCCTTTTGGTTATTCGGCATTACTCGCAATACTAGACTATAATATAAAGTAAACTATGGTAAATGTAAAAATGTAGTATCTGTAGGCAGTTCAGATTTGAAACTTTAAGTTTAAAATAAAATATCCGTCTACATGGTATCTAAAGTTTAATAAAATAGTTATTTTTTCTCCGAAACTGTGGTCATATAACACTTTAGTATCAAAAACTGCAATGAAAACAGGAAGTGATTTTGCAAGTTCTGGACGTAAAGTAAAACCTGCTATGAAAACGGAAAGTGGTTTAGTAAGCCTTGGATGTAAAGTAAAACCTGCTATGAAAATGGAAAGTGGTTTAGTAAGCCTTGGATGTAAAGTAAAACCTGCTATGAAAATGGAAAGTGGTTTAGTAAGCCTTGGATGTAAAGTAAAACCTGCTATGAAAATGGAAAGTGGTTTAGTAAGCCTTGGATGTAAAGTAAAACCTGCTATGAAAATGGAAAGTGGTTTAGTAAGCCTTGGATGTAAAGTAAAAACTACAATGAAAACAGGAAGTGATTTTGCAAGTTCTGGACGTAAAGTAAAACCTGCTATGAAAACGGAAAGTGGTTTAGTAAGCCTTGGATGTAAAGTAAAAACTGCAATGAAAGCGAGGAGAGAGTAAGTTAGCCCTGGACATAAAACAAAAACTATAGTGAGAACAACTAGGAATTTAGTTAGCCTTGGACGTTAAATAACGATATTGGTCTCTTCACAAATTAAAGTAAAACTTTAAAATTGCCTTTTTATTGTAAAACCACTCACTGCAGAGACTCGAACTGCAACAAAACAGTGTCGAAACTTTTCGCCATTAATTGCTTTAGTAAAAACCAGGAAGAGAAAATTTTGAAGGTCTTTGACTCGAGACGTTTAAAATAGAACAACTAGTTCGAAAGCTGTCCATTATTTTTTTATTATTTCCTGTATTATCTTTTTAAGTGTTACAGACTAAGCATATCCCGAGGCTGTCGCCTAGTTGCTAATATTGGTGACAGGATTTTTTGTTTCATTCCAAACGTTAAAAGAATGACAAATCAAAACATCAAGTAGGTTATACGAAAAGCGAAGTTGGGTCGTATAATGTTTCTAGTCGTGGATCAGTCGCAGGTTTAAATCTGACTTGTTTTATTTCACACAAAATCTCAAATTAATGACAGCCAATGCAAATTGTCGGTAAAACATATAAAATTAGTACACACTTGATAATGAATAAGTACATGTTATGTGAGAATGCTACACTGATAAAAAAAAAACAACATAAAAACAGATCAAATTTGTATCAAGTTGCCAAAAAAACAATTTCGAATATTTTTTTCTTCCTTATTGTATTTTCAAATTGATTTTCTTTCGTGATTCACTTTCTAGTATTAGTGTTCTTTTAAGAATTATGACTTGGAATTATAAAATAATCTATTATTATTCTTTTACGAAATTTTTACTTACCCCAAAAATACATTGACCTCATTATCTGCTACACCTTGATAGGCACGTGACAGTTCGACAGTTTGCCCCACCTAAAATATTTATAGAAATTGAACGTGACTGACTTTTTTTATTCAAGATTATTCTGTAAAAAGGAAATTAGAAATTAGGCTACGCATATTAAAATAAAGTAATGCAACTAACGTCCCTAAGGGATAAAAGAGTTATTTCTGATATCTCAAACATTACAAATATATATGCAAATAAAATAACATTTTTAACGTCTTCAAATTTGCAAAACAAACTTTATCACCTCCAACATGTTGTATACTCTAACTACCAGCACGTTTTGACTGCATTTTACTCCTTCACTAAGCGACCTCTTATTATGGAGCTGACTTTCATCTTTCTTGTATCACTTTGCAGCTCCGAAGCCATTATTTGAACTTGTTCTTTCTTGCATGACACCACATCTTTGCATTGCAGCACCAAATATTGCCAGATTTTTAAATGTACTACTAGTTACAGCAATCATATATTTATTTCATTAAAGGACGTTTATTCGTTTTACTCAATTATGCATGAAAAAGCAAATAATTAGAAATAACGCCAACATACTCTGAAGTGTATCATTATTAGTTGCTTTAACTTGCAGGTATATTTTGGGCTGCAGATGAGTTAAGTTGTAAACCTGATAACAGATCTGGTGTTAAAGAATCACCCAGTAGTGAAATTAGTAACAATAGATCTGGTGCTAAAGAATAATCCAATGGGGAAACTAGTAACAATAGATCTGGTGCTAAAGAATAATCCAGTGGGGAAACTAGTAACAACAGATCTGGTACTAAATAATAATCCAGTGGTGAAATTAGTGGCAATAGATCATCTGGTGCTAAAGTATCATCCAGTAACGCAACTAGTAACAATATATCTGGTGCTAAAGAATAATCCAGTGGTGAAATTAGTAACAACAGATCTGGTGCTAAAGAATCATCCAGTGGTGAAACTAGTAACAATAGATCCGGTGAAACTAGTAATACTATATCTGATGCTAAAGAATCATTCAGCGGTGAAACTAGTAAACTATATCTGATGCTAAAGAATCATTCAGTGGTGAAACTAGTAACAATAGATCCGGTGAAACTAGTAATGTTTCACCGGATCTATTGTTACTAGTTTCACCGCTGAATGATTCTTTAGCATCAGATATAGTATTACTAGTTTCACCGGATCTATTGTTACTAGTTTCACCACTGAATGATTCTTTAGCATCAGATATAGTTAGTAACACTATATCTGATGCTAGTAACAAATTGATAGATAATCAAATTATTTCCACATACAATATACACGACCTCGTATATGTGGAGTAATTCATTAAGGAAATATCTAACAATTTAAAATAATGTCATGAGCCAGGCTTTAATAAACCCAAATATTCTGTTGAGAGAGAGAGAGATGCTGATGAAAAATGACTGTTAACGGGGTCTAAATGTGTGTGTGTGTTATAACAGTGACGGTCAAATCCCATTAATCAATTAGAGCAATCCAAGACTTGGTTGTAGATGATGTTGACTTGCTGCCTTCCCTCTAGTCTATCAGTTTAAAATTAGGGACGAAAAAAATCTAAAACACAAACTCTTTCTAAATAAAATATCTACAAGTTTTGACTAAAATATGATGAACCCATGATTCCATGCTTTCATAGAATTGTATATTATTAACTGTGTATAAATACAAATATATATACTGTTATTGTTGGATACTGAACAATACTTACACTTGATAATGCTAGCTAGCAAAAGAAGAACAGGTCAGAAGGTACATTCTGTGTTTAACGTACTGTTTCTTACTCGGTGTTTCGTAGAATATAAGTAAACTGATATGACATTACGTATATAAAGTGTCTTAAAAACAGACCAATCCATCAATACTATGGTACTTTGGAAACATAACTCTTATAAATAGGTGATATGTTGATGGTTATAAGATGGTACTTGTGCAGTTCATCTGTAGTTAACTCTGTTTTAAAACAAACTTTTGAATGACAACATTCTGATGGTGTGAATAAAAACAATTACATCTGCGCTGAAAGAATTATCCAGTGGTTAAGTTAATAGCAGAAGATATGACGCTTGAGAATCATCCAATGGGGAAACTAAAACTATAGCAACAATAGATCAGGCGCTAAAAAAATTATAGAATAATGAAGCAAGTAACAATGGATCTGGTGCTAAACAATTACCCAATGGTGAAACTACTAATAATATATGTGACGTTAAAGAATTCCTCAATTAGGAAATCAGTAACAATAGATATGGTGCTAAAAATCACTAAATGTTCGAATTATTAGCAGTAGGTCTGGTGGTAAAATCACCCAATGGTGAAACTAGTAGCAGCAAATCTGGCGCTATGGAATCATCCTGTGATGATATTAGTAACAGTTTATAACGATTTAACAAATAATGTATAATAAACATCAGTATTTATAGACTTTAAAAGGTAACAAAAATTTGCATTATTTTCCTAAGATCAGCAAAATCGCCCTTTATTTTACTGGTATAATAATAGCATACTTGAATTAAACATTATAAGTACTTTCTATAGTATATGGAAATTAATCCTTACCTATGGGCGGCCAGAGAAAGAGAAAAGCGTATAAAACGGTCCCGCTTAATTCCTACAGACGGCGAAGAAGGTGTGGTCCTGACAATTGGAACCCTCACCGCTTAACTATTGCGGGTAAGGATACAAACTAGATCACCGCTAGTTTTATAAACCGGATTTTAAATAGGTCGCGCCCGCCTTCAGCACCGCAAGTGGCTTTCTCCACTTTTATGAATATTACAGTACGGTTCTGTGCATATTTGTTACCAATCAACATTCGTTGTTGTTTCACGATACGATACTTCCTGTGTTCCGATCAATCCAAAATAAACATTGAAAGTAGTTGTCTCCTACGTAAGTTTTATATTTAGAAAGATCATTGAGACTTATTTAGTATTCATATGTCAAGTTCCTTTGCTTTTCATATTAGCCAAAATAACAATCAGGTTTTTCAGAGTAGATAGGTTGAGTCGAGCGTGACTTTGGATCTGCATGTCTAACGTTCGAGCCCTGTTACAGCAAAAATAAAATAAATATAATAAACTGTGCTCCGCACTTTGGAGCCATATCAGCTTAGACGTCGGTGTTTAGAATATTTTAGTTTTTAATCTTTATACTCCCCCTTTTATATTACTTATTTGTAGAGCTCCTTCTTAGTGTAATAATGTTATGAATGTATATATAACTATTGTATGGCCCTCGATGGCACAGTAGTAAACTTGATGGCTTATTACGCTCAAAATCTAGATTTGATCTCCGTTGCGGATAGACTATCGTTTCATTGGGCATCATTGTGTTGAATAAAAAACCACTTAACGTTATCCATATAATTTATAAGCATTATTGCTACGTTAATACAATACAAACCACAACCAAATTTCTGCAAAGTAATAGAGCTACTCTTTAACTTCACTGAATCACAATTTAAAAACAGTAATTATTAATTATCGTTGCATCTTTTTAAGCAGTGCCACTAAATTTCTGAAAGTTTTAGGTTGATGTTTTTCACACTGCAAACTTCCAGGGAACATTAACTTATTTTATTACCTGAAAAAGTTATGTTCAGAGCTTAACAGTACTTAATCTCGTGTTGTATGTGTTTAGCATTTGACGAAGAATATCAAAATAATAGATTTAGATTACTCTACCAAATGATTTCGAATTTACAAAAAAAACAAAACAAAACAAAAACAACTAAACTATAATGGCCAAAGTTCTCAAACAAATGCTCTATGTCTCCCTCCATCCATTAGCAGATTTCAAGAGAGATTGGTATTCAAGGCAGTGGAAGGGTCATCAGGTACAATATTTATACTTCAGAGGGGTAGACACAGTATCAATTTGAGAATTCATTGTGAGAAAGGTGTGTTGAACCATAGTAAATTGTGACATTATAATGTGTAGGACAGTTACATTCTGCGTAAATAGTTATTTACAAGAACTAAATCTTAAACATCATGTTTCGATATATAAGACAAGGTTTCATCTATATTACTCGAAACATAGAGGAAACATAGAAAGAGGAATTACAGGTCGGAAACTCTAATTTTGTCGGGTTTTTTTACCCCTGCCCCCCCTGTAAAATAAAAAATGAGACATAAATCCCAAATCTGTCTGCTATAGGCTATGGGGGTTGTTGCAAGATATTTTTTATGACATGTCTCATTTGGATTGAGGAAATTATAAGGGAACTGCAGGCCAAAATATGGTTTCTGTAGCCTTTGACCTCTAAAACTAAGAAAATGAATAAGATGTTTGGACGTGTAAGAAAATGTATATGTTCCTAGATGATCAGCCTAAAAATAAAGGAGTGGCTGTAATTATTGGAGAGAACAAGAAAGCGTGTGTATTTTGTACAGTAAAGCCATATCGGGCTTTCTGCTGTGTTCACCAAGGGAAATCGAACCCCTAATTTTAGTGTTCTGAATCAATAGACTTACCGCTGTCCCACCTGGGGACGGGGAGAAGAAGAAGAAAGAAACACGATATATTTCTCCTTACTATGCGGGAGACATAATAAGCCAACCAGATAAATCGTTATTCATCAGTGACGTCAATTACTGCCTCAGGATTTTCTACATTTGCAATAAAAAAGAAAATTCCCGTTGAATGAAGTGTTTGGTTTATTTTTCAAGGTTTCCACATTTTTAAAACAAATCAACAAATTACCTCATATTTTAAATTATTTGAATGGAGATTTTTTTATTCTTCAGGATTGAACAATCCTACAACTAAATTGTTGTTTCGTTATGTTTTCTTTATTGTTGTTTTTTTTCTCTGCTACGTGTTTCTTTTGACGATGGGGACAAAGCGTGCCTAGACTCTAAATCCGAGTATTCATGGTTCGCAGCCCGTTGCTGCAAATACGCGCGCTGCACTTTGGAGCCGTCGGTACGCTCTTCGGTCAGACAAAAGTAGCCCAAGAGTTGGTGGTGGATGCTGTTGGCTAGTTGCCTTTCCTCTAATATAGCAGTTCAATACTAGGGACAGACAGATATGCGCAGATAGTTCTTGTGTGGGGATACGCGAAAGTTTTAAAACAAACAAACCAAAAAATCTTTTGACATTTGTTTGAAAAATTAACTTCGTGTAGTGTAAAAATCCAATATTGTTAGAATATAGTAGGCAATGAGTTACTTCATTTTCATTTATAATTAGTTTTATTAATGTTATTCGTTATAATTTTTCAAATAAGATTATTTTTTTTCAATTAATGATTGCAGTTAAGAAGACTGTTTCGTGTTGCTACTACAGTATATGGATTTAGAGCTAACCTAAATTTACTTTAGCTGCCTGAATCTAGTAAAACAGTTTTAGCATTACCGCCAAAAATATCGTTAACAGCGAAGTTATCAAACTAATAATTCAATCCATTCTAATCAATATAGGTTTTAGATATTGATTTATGACATTATAAACGTTTTGTAAGTTTTATATATAGAATTCGCTTCATTAATTTGTAAGCTGCTTCTTATCTCTGGTCTATGTTATTAGCTTATTTTCAGATCAGAAGTTCGTGAGAACCAACAACTGAGTGACATACTGAAATAATTTTGCAAATACAATGAAAGTCTTTATTTAACCGACACATCAAGGTGATGTGTCGACATTCGCCACAGAATGAGAAACTTTAAGAAGTTGGTCAGCTTGTTGTTACCATCCCAATTGAAAGTTTCTCATAAATTTCATTAGGTTCACGTAAACTGCACATTAGTGTCGCTTGTGTTTTTCTCCTGATTTCTAACATATCTTGGTTCTACTGTTTGAAAATAGGACCAAACTGTCACTCTTATTGTAATCATTTTCCAGGAAAGAATGCTTCCGAATCCTCTTGCTTTCCACCAAGTTTGATTCACCTTTATCTCCCCACCCCCCCACACACACATATTTTACTACCTACGCTTATGATATTAGGGATACAACGTGATCTACTAAGTGTACCATTCGTGATGAGTACAGAAATTATGGTATTTCCAAGTCACAAACACCTTCATGTTAATTCTTAATCACCTGTCAGTGAAAAGAAATGTATAAAGATTTTAAAGGAAACAACATGGTAAGCTCCCAATCTAGATTCACCCAGATTTTTGTACTAGTTTCTTTAATGTTAGAGAATATATACTTATTTTGCGTAAACACTTTATGTATGAATAAACACGTGCCTGACAAAATCGCCCGATAAAAAGAATATCATATTAGCTTATGTTTAGAGAACTTCTACAATTATAAAAGTCTAACTCAAATTTACATATTCATGTTAATGACAATGCTGATATTTAGCCACAAATCGAAACTAAGGTCTTGCAGTGTTTGAAATCCTGAGTGAAATCCATATTACGTTGAACACAATTATTCTACTTCTGGGTAATAAATATTCTGAACATGTATCCTCAGCAATATTTCCTATTATATCCACATTTCTGACTGCTTGTAAAGCTACCAAAATTAACGAACCTGTGCTTTAGTGACCGTAATGGATTAGCTTCATAAATATTCAAACAGTTTTGTCTCTTTTTAACATGGAACGTTTTTTTTTAAGCTTCGAACCCCCCTTTTTATTATTCGGGGTAACGTTATATTCATGTTTTAATATAACACTTGGCCTTGCGTTTCTTAATCGGCAACGCACAATATATATACCTTGTT